GGAACTGCGGAGCCGGACTTGCAGAGACGGGTTCCTGGCTCCTCCTGGGCAGCCCCACACCGAGCCCAGGCACACCAACACATCCCAGAGAGGATGAGGAACCGGAGCTGAGGACCTTCTCAAACTGGGTATCCCCGATGGGGAAGGCAGACTGGCTGGAAGGCCCCAGGAAGAACTGCGGGAGCTCTTCCTGCTAGAGGCTCTCCCTTCCTGGCTCAGAGAGGTCTCTTCCATCTCATCCTGTCTTCCTTTCTTTTTCTCTCTCTTTCTTTCTTTCTTTCTTTCTTTCTTTCTTTCTTTCTTTCTTTCTTTCTTTCTTTCTTTCTTTCCTTCTTTCTTCTTTCTCTTTCTTTCTTTCTTTCTCTCTCTCTCTCTCTCCCTCTCTCTTTCTCTCTTTCTTCTTCTTTCTTTCTTTTTTTTTTAGAGATTTTTTTTTTTTTTGCTATAGGGCATGTGTGCTCACCAGAGAGACAGAAAGGAAGTCCCGAACTTGAACTGTGGTCAATTCAAACTGGTTGTGGGAGTCCAGCGACGTAACCATTATGCCATCTGCTGGTCCCTCACTGTGTTCCTATGAAGAGGTCAAGAGGGGGCCTTCTGTGTATTTCTGTCTCTCACTGTTTCTCAATCCTTTGTATCTCTCTCTGGTATTCTGGGTCTTCATGTGGGAGAACCTTTCTCTGTGTCTCTCCTTCTCTCCCTGTTTCTTTCTCTGATTCTCTCTCTCTGTCTCTCTTTCTCATCTGTCTGGATGTCTGAGTTACTTGCATTTTTATTTCTGCATCTTTCAAATCTGCATGTGTCTCAAGGCTCCGGTATTTGCTTGCCACTGAAATTTCTGTGTCACCTGCATCTGTTTGTGTCTCTCTCCGGGCCAGGACCAGGGACTCCCCGCTCTAGCTACAGTCACACTGGGCACAAAGAGAGTCGTTAGTGCATCTTATCACCCACCTAGGACCCTTTTGGGGCCTGGCCTCTTGATTCACCAAGGAAGGGTGCCTGTCGATTTGAGGGAGACGACGGAGCCTGCCTCCTATGGCCAGAAGGGGGCAGTTAAGGACCGTTTCTGCCTCATTCCGGCTTTCCCTGAGCTGAGAGGCACAGTTGCGGGGGGAGGGGGGAGATGGATTTTGGGCATCTGCAAATTTGTTCAAACCTGAAATTTTCTTTTAAAATCAGTACTAAAATCACCGGCCGCACTTACTCTCAGTTGCCTGCTCTGTCCTCCAAGAAGCAGGGACTTGGATCAGGAAGGAAGGATGCAGAGGTCAGCGCCCGACTGAGGCTCAGAAGTGAGAGGTCAGCAACAGCCTGGACAGAAATGGCACCAGAAACGCAGGGCGAGGGCCTGCTGTGCCCGGGAGCTCCAGCTGTAAGTGCCAGATGTGTGAGGGCGGCCAGCTGCCCGCCCAGGGTCTCAGGAAGAGCTGTGTGCTGGTCGCTGTTCTAAGGAACTCAGTGGGTTAGTCCTCCCAAATCAGGACTAACCCACTAATTTTTGTCACATTTTAAAGAGTTGTCGTTCCTGGGGCACCAGCTCTTCCTTGCTGGGCCCCAGTTGGGCCCAGAGTAGCCTACCTGGGGCAGGTGAGATGCAACAGGTGGTTCCTGTACACGTTTAGGAGAGCGAATGGTGCACTAAACCCTCCACTGCCGAAATAGGTACGTGCCTTTTTATGACAGAGATTTTTGCTGTAGGGTGTGTGCACCTGTCAGAGAGAGAGAGAGAGAGAGAGAGAGAGAGAGAAATCACCTTCCAGGGGGCATGGTGAAGCCGCAATCTCTTCTCCATTCTCCTTTAGGGATTTTGGGCACACACAAACACAGGTCTAGAGTGACTTTCAAGCCTCTGGGTCCAGGACGCAAACTGGAATCAGCCATGTGGGAATCCAGCAACGTAACTGTTACACCATCTGCTGGTCCCACGGGTACATTCCTGTATTTCTCTCACTCTCCCGTCTGCCCAGAGCTGCCCTCTTGGGTACGTGCCCCCACAGGCTCTCAGCTTTCCTGCCAGTGCCCTTGACCCAGGACTGGGCAGGACCACCAAGTGCTTCAGCCACCTGGACCTTTTTCTCTCTTCTAATTGCCAGAGGGTGAGCACACCTGCCAGAGGGACAGAGACGGAGAGGGAGAGCACGCCCCGGCGGGGTGTGGGCATCCCCTACCCTCCATCTTTCCATCCTACTGGGATTTGGCATGCACAGGGGCCCCATGTGATTTTCTTTTTTAAAAAATTTTATTTATTCATTCATTTATTTTAATTTGACCAGAGAGAGAATGTGAGAAAGCAAGCTGCCAGGTCCGAACTTGAAGTATGGTGGGCCATGTGGGAGTGTCCAGCACATTAACCACCACGCCACCTGCTGGTCCCCCCATGTGATTTTCGAGCTGCAGGGGCTGGGATTCAAGCTGCAGGTGGGCATGCAGGATCTTTGAAATATTCTCGGAAAGCATGATATTTATGGGGTATTATGTGATTTTTCAGTACAAGAATACACGTGTGATGAGTAAGTGTGAATTAATATAGCCATCATCTTGACCTCTTGTCATGACATTGTCACGTCTGTCATATTACATTTAACCACTAAACACATGGTGTAACTACCAATGTATAATATGCATATGAGTGAGGTATGTTTGCATATATATCTCATTTGTCAGCTTAGAATTCGTCTGAGCACAAGTCTACACTTTCTCTTCATTCTTTCCTTTCAATTGACAGAGGACACATGTGCTCGCCAGAGAGGGAGGGAGAGGGAACATGATCACACTGCAATCCCTTTCCAGTTCTCCATCCTGTCTGGATTTTGGTCATGCACATACATGTGCCCACTGTGTTTTCAAACTGCCAGGGCTGTGGAATCGCAAGGCAGCCAGGTGGGATTCAGCTCTCTTAACCCCGAAGCCACAGACTGGCTCCGTTCTTGTTGATCTTCAGAAAAGAAAGCTTCCTTACTGTGTATCTTCCTGTCTCTCCGGGGAGTGGGCAAGGGTCACAGGACGCTTCTCCACTGAAGAATGCAGGGGAGGCTATCTCGGGGTGAATGATTCCTTGACAGACAAGGCTAAGTCTCCCCCATCCCGAGGTTTTTGCCATAGGGCATATGTACTTTCTGGGGGGAGAGAGAGACAGAGACAGTGAGAGGGAAAGTGAGAAATCACCCACTGTGGGGATGGCCACGCTGCAATCCCATCTCCTCCATCCTCCTCCTGGGATCTTGGGCATGCATGCAAACATGCCCAGTGTGAACCCAGGACTTGAAATGCGATTGGCCATGTGGGTTTCCAGTGAGGTAACCAATATGCCACCTGCTGGCCCCAAGAGGAGCCAGGTAGAGTCTTGATGGCTCACAATTGTTTTAGTTTTTACTTTACCAGAGGGCCCGTGCACTTGCCAGAGACAGAGGGAGGGAGATGGAGAAAACTGTAGGGCAGGGTCATGCTGCAATCCCTTTTCTTTCACTTTCCACCTTCCAAGGAGTTTGGACCTGCACGGACACGCCCCTGGCATGTTTCTCAAGCCTCTGGGTCTGGGACTAGAACTGGTACTAGAACTATAACTAAGTCCAGTTACTTCTCCAAGCCAGTGAAATGAGAGGCAGAGGCTGGGAAAGGAGTTCGTTTCTTTGGGAAAGCCATGACGCATTGCACAGAAAAACAGAGAAACACATCATGACTTTCCCAACGACCTCATGGGGAGCAGTCAGCACGTCCCTTCAGATCGTCTTGAGAAGCTCAGCATGTCCTCGGTGCTTCCAAGGTACAAGCAAGTGCAAATCATTCCTCACTACAATCCGACAACTGCTTTCTCTCGAGTAACTACCTGATTTCTGTTTGACTTCAAATACCCATTCCTGGCTTCTCACCTGACCATTCCTCAAATGGACCTCCCTGTCTCAGCGCTTGGTCAGAATGTTCTCATTAGAGGCCTCTCTTACGTTCAAGACGGTTGCCGTCCCAGTGGCCTGTTTCAGAACCTCTGGCTTGGCCATATGGGGTCCAGCTCCCTTATCTACTAGGCCATGGGCTGACCCGATGGGTAAACATTTTAAATGCTGAGAAGCAGGCAACGTTCTTACAGCAGTCTGGCCCCCAGCCCCAGCGTTCCCACGGCGAATCAAGGCTGCTCCTGGGTCTTCCTCGTCCTTTATCTCCTGGCAATATCACGTGGGCAGTGTGTTCTGATGGTTAGGGATGTGGAGCAGGTCCTGACCTCGCCATGTTTCTGTGTCACTTTGGGCTAGTCACTTCCTCTTGGAGAATATGATTCCTTTCCTGATGGAGGTGATGACAGCAGCTCCTTGCAGGACAGCTCTTTGGGGCTGGAGCCCCTGGAACATCAGCCTGGAAGCCCTGTGGGTCCCTTCCACGTGGAGCTACCTCCGGCCTCGCCAGCTCTGCCTCACCTCGCACAGTCTCTGATCTGACGTGTGAGGTCTGAGCTGTCCGCTGATCCTTTTGCAGTCAAGGCCCTGGAAGTGCCGGCTGTAGCCCCTCCTCGCACTCCCCCTTGCTGGCACCCTCTGGCCTTTCTGGGTCTCAGTCACACCTGTCTCCTCTCCACCTTCCTGCAACTCTGCTGCATGCTGCTCTGGCTGTCTCCCGACTGCCTTCCCTCCTGCGAGTGACCTGACCCGTTTCAGATCTAATCACCAGGCTTTTCTGTTAAAGGCCCGAAGGTCAGCTGCTATCTCAATTAGAGGATCTGAGTAACTGTCCCTAGGAAGAATTTCACTCCAGCACAAACTTGCTTAGGGCTAGTAAAAGATTCTAGGGTGCAGCTGAAGAGCAAAGGACCTGGGGACCAGCAGTTAGCATAATGGCTATGTGGTTGGACTCCCATGTAGTTGACCACGGTTTGAGTCCAGGACCGGGCGGCTTAAACTCATGCCAGGCGCGTGTGTGTGCTTGCCCAAGATCCTGAGAGGAGAATGGAGAAGAAGGGATTGCAGCGTGGCCATCCCCCCTGGGGGTGATTTCTAAAAAAAAAAAAAAAAAAAAAGAGCAAAGGACCTGAAGATGTGTCAGTGTGGTAGTGTGGTTCATGGTTCATTCGATCAGAGGCATCCAGACATTTCGAATACTGTCAGAGTTGTTGATCTTCAGGGACCCAAAGCATCACTGGGGTCCCCTGTTAGTATTGGGGGTATATGAAACCAGGGTATCAATAGTTTTGACCCAGGCCCAGCCCACAGTAGGTTCACTGTGTCCCTGGACCCACTCAGAGATCACTTTCCCAGGTTCTATGCATGACAGGAATCGATACAGTTGGTGTGAGGAGAATACCCATGTTGGTTTTGTTAAATACAACTTACAGGAGGCCAATGTTTTGGACTGAGATCCTGCGCTGGATCCCAAGAAACCAGCATAAAGGTGCCCACAGGAGTCTTTTATTTTTAATATTTATTTATTTACATTCGTTACTGTTATTATTATTATTACTGTTTTAATTTCAGTGCCTCTAATCACCACACCAACTGCGATCCCCTCCACAGGAGCCTTGTACTCCATCACCTCCTCAGTGGCCCAGGTCGTGGGTGTGGATCCTCTCAGTTTCTGAGCCTCCTTCCTGGGGATCCAGGTTCTGAGACTTTATCTGGGCGTCTTTTGTTGCCAGCTGTCTAGGAGAGGGAATCCTGATCCAGGTGAGTTCTCAGTTTTCAGGAAAGGACATTTTCTTTTTCTTAAAATAATTATTTATTTAACTCCATGTGTTATTATTTTTTAAATTTGCCAGCCACGTGGGAATCTAGCCGTGCCACCTGCGGGCCCAGAAAGGACATTTGCATCTTGAATCTCTTTTGCATTTAGCTCCCAATCATTTTGGTTTTCAAATTGAGGCTTAGTTTGTGCTGTGAGAGAGCATTTGCACTTGGGCTGAGACCCCAGAGTTAAGTTTATGCCGTGAGGGAGCCCCTGACCTCCGAGTACCAAAGGTTAGCCTGTCTTGTGAGAGGACACTTGAATTTTGGCTTCTGATGGCTGATTGCAGGGGGTGCAAGTCTAGCGCTCAGAATTCACAGGCATAGGGGTTCTATCCTCTTCTTTTTTCCCATCTGGCGTGATTTTCAAGCCACGGGACCCAGCTATCTTAACCTCTGCACCACCTGCTGTTCCCCACTAAAGATAGTTTTAAATTCTCTCTCTCTCTTTTTTTAGTTAGAGGGGCAGAAAAGATAGAACAACAACAACAAAAAAGAAATTAAAAATATAATTAGCTAGAGGGCACATGCACTCACTGGGAGATAGATGTGTCAACAGAAAGTAACCAACTCTAAAAGTTTAATAATTATTAATGCGGTTTATTTCCGCAGAATGAGTGACCTAGACCCAGAGAGGAGGCAAGACATTCTCCCGGGGTGATCAGGTACAGAGGTTCCTTTTAATTGATTTTGAGAATGAGAGACAGAGTTCTGAATTTAGTGAAAAAAGTTTTTCCATTGGTCTGGCCCAAAAAGGTGGGACATGTGGGGGCAGAGGCTTGTGGGTTATAGGTGGGTTCTACAGCTTTTAGGGTGATGATTGGAAAAGGAAGGCTGCTGAGATCAGAAAGGAATGTACTCTAACAGATAAGGAGGCTTAATACACGTCACAAAGAGACTCCAATACTATGCCAAGAGCAGGATGTAGGAAGAATCCTGTTACCAGTGGGCCAAATGGTCTGTCAGCCTCTGTGGGTGTGACTCCCCCCAGGCCCTCTGGAACAGACTTTGGAAAAATAGGAAAAAGTAGTCAGATTTCTGTCCACAGTAGTAAAGTAGGAAAGCACCCCCATGGGGGTGGTCATGCCGCAATCCTTTCTCCATTTCTCCTTTCTGGATTTTGGGCACACAAGTCAGTTTGGGTGCCATTGGCCATGTGGGAGCCAGCCACCTTAACCACCACTCACTCACTGGTCCATTTAAATGTAAATCTTTTTTCTTAAACACGAATTACTTATCTTAATTGTTATTATTCTTTATTTTAAAATTTGACCAGAGAGAGAGAGAGAAAGGGAAAGTGAGAGAGCAAGATGCCAGGTCCAGGATTCAAACTATAGCCAACTATGTAGGAGTCCAGCACCCTAACCACCATGCCATCTTCTAGCCCCAGGTCCATTTAAATCTTAAGGGCCTCCGGGACCAGCAGATGGTGTAATGGCTACATCACTGGACTCCCTTGTAGTCCACTGTGGTCTGAGTCCCAGACTTGGCGGCTTAAACTCACTCTGGGCATGTGTGCATGTGTGCCTAAGATTCTAAGAGGTGAATGAATGAGAAGGGATTGCGGTGTGGCCATTCCCTCTGGGGGGTGATTTCTCACTTTCTGTCTGTCTCTCTGGTGAGTACACACGCGCTATAGCAAAAAAAAGCTCTCCAAAAAAAAAAAAAAAAAAAACCTTAAAGGCCTCCATAAAACAGGAACCTTAAAAACAGGAGCCTTTGGTCACACCCGCCAGGATTATTGGGTAAGTTTACTGTAAATAAGTTGTGAAGCTGCCAAAGGATTACAGATCTCACAGTTCACCCTACCCTTTCTGTTTCCCAGTGTTCTTGAGTGTGTGATGTAAGGGAGGAGGTAGTGCCAATCCCAATCAGTTTGTCTGCACCATTTTAAATGAACCAATGTAAACTCTTAACAAACTGCTTGCAACATCCTCTCTTCCTGTTCTTTGTTACACAAACCAGCTTTTTTCTTTCTTAAAGAATTATTTTTTTATTTAACTTTATTTATTTTAGTTTGACCAGAAAGAGACAGAGTGAGAGAGATAGAGAGAAACTGAGAAAGCAAGCCACCAGGTCCAGGACTCAAACCATGGTTAGCCATGTGGGAATCCAGTGCCCTTAACCACCACACCACCTGTTGGCCCCTAACAGCTGTTTTTTGGGGGGTTTTGCCATAGGGTGTATGTGCTTGCCAGAGCAGACAGAGGGAAAATGAGAAATCACCTCCCACGGGAAATGTCCAAGCCGCAATCCCTTCTCCATTTTTTCTCCTGGAATTTTGGGCGTGCATGCGTGCACACGTGTCTGGTGTGATTTTCAAGCCACCAGGTTTGGGACTTAAACCACGGTTGGCTGTGTGGGAGTCCAGTGTCTAAACCACCATACCACCTGCTAATTCCCACAATTAATTTTTTTAAAAAAGAATTCTTTTATTTAACTTTTATCATTCTTTTTTCATTTGACCAGAGAGAGAGCAAGAAAACAAGATGCCAGGTCTAGGACTCAAACTGTGGTCAGCCATGTGAGAGTCCAGTGCTTTTATCTACCACCAGGCCACCTGCTAGTTCCCACAATTATTATTATTATTTTTTAAAGAGAGACACTTTTAGTATAGGGTGCATGCGCTCACCAGAGAGACAGACAGAAAGCGAGAAATCACCCCACAGCAGGGATGGACATGCTGCAATCCCTTCTCCATTTTCCTCTTGGGATTTTGGCCACATATGCACACATGCCCAGCAGTCTTAAGCCACCGGGTATGGGACTTGAACCACAGTCGACTATGTGAGAGTGCAGCAATGCAACCATTACACCATCTGCTGGTCCCCACAATTAATTTTTTTTAAAACACAAAACATTTTTAAAAAATTTAATTTTGATGAAGTCTGATTTATTAATTTTTTGCTTTTATGGATTATACTGTTTGTATTGTATTTAAGCAGTCTTTGACAAAGCAAAGCCCATGATGGGGTTCATCTATGTTTTCTTCTAGAAGTTTGTATTAATTACACATGAGTCACCTTAAGTGTTTAGAAGCTGGAAGGACCTCTAGGACTCAGATAACTTGTACTCAGCCTTAGTACAAGAATGGCGACAACAGGGGAGGGGATTGGCAATCTCGGATGCAATCTTCTTTGTATTCCCACTGCTGGGACACGTATAATACTTTTTTTTTTTTTTGGTCAGAGGGTGCAAGTGCTGGCCAGAGGGAGAGGAGAAAATCTTCCCGGGAACCAGCAGTTAGCATAATGGCTATGTTGCTGGACTTTCACATAGTCGACCGCGGTTCACGTCCTGGACCCGGTGGCTTAAAACTCACACCGGGCGCGTGTGCGTGCGTGCCCAAGATCCCGAGAGGAGAATGGAGGAGAAGGGATTGCGGCGTGACCATCCCCCCTCGGGGGTGATTTCTCGCTTTCTGTCTCTATGTCTCTCTCTGTCTGTCTGGTGAGCACACGCGCCCTACAGTGAAAATCTCTCAAAAAAAAAAAAAAAAAACAACACTTCCCTAGTGGGGAGTGGTTATAGGAGGTGTGGTTACAATACAATCTCCTGCATTTCTCCAACCTGTTGGGATTTGGGGCATGCACGCACACGCGCTTGGTGTATTTTACAAGCCATCAGAGCCAGGACTTGAACTACTCGGCTGGCCACGTGGGCTCTAGCTCCCTTAACCACCAGGCCATGGGGCTGGCCCACACTGTGCACTTTGACTTCGGATCTCCCACCTCCTGCACACGGTGTGGGTGAAGCACCTTGGAATCAGGACCCCAAAATCTGCTCGCGATGGGGGTGGGGGACCTGATCCTGTGTTCACATCAGCACATTTCTACTTCATCAGCAGCCCTAACTTTCTGAATCCTCCAGACTTCACAAAAGCCAGGTAGAAACAATACATTTGTGGTTGAAGAATTAATCTTGCAGGTTAATCTTGCCCTGAAACAACTCACAGATCCATGATTACAGAACATCTATACCTTGAGATAAACATATGGTTAATCCAAGGCAGCTAAGATGGGCTGATAGTCTACAAACTACGCGGTTTCAGCTCTACATTTAGGGTTATGAACCAGCTTACGTTGATTTCTGTATACATAGCTGATTTGTATATATTGACCTTGGATCTTTTAATTTGCTAAGCTCCTCAGTGTGGATTTTTTTTTTTTTGAGAGAGTTTTTTTTTTTTTTTTGCTATAGAGTTCATGTGCTCACTGGAGAGACAGGAAGAGATGGAGAGACAGGAAGAGACAGAGACCGAAAGCAAGAAATCATCCCCTAGGGGAATGCTGCAGTTGCTTCTCCATTCTCTTGGAATTTTGGCACGCATGCATATGTACCTCGTGTGAGTTGCAAGCCACTGGGTTTGGGTTTCAAACCATGGTTGACTATGTGGGAGTCCGGGGACTTAACTGCTATGCCATCTGCTGGTCCCATTGGTGTGGATTTTAGGGATTCAGTGGCTTGGAGCATGCTTGGATCTTCCCTCCAAAGTACAGGGCAAATGACTGCACTGAATAACTCCACCTAACAATAAGGAAGCACAGGGACCAGGAGGTGGTGCAGTGATGATGCAACCAGACCCACATGGGGAAGGTTGTGGGTTTGTGTCCTGGAACCTCTCTCAATATGCTGAGTGTAGGGACCAGCAGTTGGTGTAATGGCTATGTCACTGAACTTCCATGTAGTTGACCATGATTCGAATCCCAGACCTTGTGGCTTAAACTCATGCCAGACACGTGTGCGTACATGCCCAAGATCCTGAGAGGAGAATGGAGGAGAAGGGATTGTGGTGTAGCCATCCCCCTTGGGAGGTGATTTCTTGCTTTCTGTCTCTCTGTCTCTGTCTTTCCGGCAAGCGCACACTCCCTATACCAAAAATAAAACCTCTCAAAAAAAATATGCTGGGTGTGTGCTCATACCTGTGATCTGGGCTGGCTGACACCAGGGTAGAGCATGGCGTGGAACCCTGTTAAGGATGCCTATCTCTCTGTCTCTCTCACAGAAGAAATAAATAATAAAATTTAAAAATCTCATAAAAAGGGATAGAGCACAATGTTTAGTAGGTTGCAAATCTCATGGATGAGAAAGCTGCTCTGGTCCACTGAGGTGCATGAAGACCATTGGCTTGGCTAGGGTCGGGGGGAGTGGGAAAGCTCAGGCTGTGGAACGAGCAGCCCTGCCCCTTGCACCATAAAATCTAGCAGACTTTGGGACTAGCAGATGGCATAATGGTTATGTTGCTGGACTCCCACATAGTCGACCATAGTTTGAGTCCTGGACCCCATTGGCTTAAAACTCACAGTGTATGTGTGAAGGAATATAGCGTGGCCCCTAGAAAGTGATTTCTTGTTTTTTGTCTATCTCTGTCTCCCCGGTAAGAAAATGTATCCTATAGCAAAAACAAACAAACAAACAAACAAACAAACAACTCTCTTAAAAACAAGAAATCTAGGGACCAGCAGATAGTATAATGGTTACATCATTGGACTCTCACGTAGTAGACCACAGTTTGAGTCCTAGACCCAGCAACTTAAAACTCATGCCAGGCGCATGTGTGTGCATGCCCAAAATCCCGAGAGGAGAATGGAGGAGGTTATGGGGTGGCCATCCCCCCTGGGGGAGAGGGTGATTTCTCACTCTCTCTGTCCAGTGAGCGTACATACCCTATAGCAAAAATCTCTCTTAAAAATAAAAATCTAGCAGACTTCATTGTCTTTGAGGTTTCTGTGGTAGGGAAAGATGCTATCTGGAGTTTATGGCGCATCTCCATGGGAGATTCACAATGTAGACACTTAGGGTTCTGGATCAAGGCCATACCATCTGTTACTGAGAATTACATACATACCACCAAGAAAACAGAACTAAACAAAATAGCTCCCAGCGGGCTACTAGATCCTCATGGAGACAGGACACCCACCAAGAGATGCCGAGCGACTCTGCAGCCAGAGCTGTCATCTGGAGCTGGGTCCCACCAGACCCACCCTGTCAGAAGGTCAGCGGGCCCAACGGCAGCCCACAATGAGATAGTCAGGATCCTCCCTGCTGGCACAAGCAGGGCCAGGTGGCATGTCAGCTGTCCAAGCAGGTGGTCCAGGCCTACGTCATCCACTAATGTTGCATCAGGCCCCCTTCTCACTCAGCTCAGAACTGGGGTTCCGAGGGGTTTCTTAGATTTTAAGAACAGTTTTCTTTACTCATGATAATGTGTATGTGCATGTGTGCATGCCCACGCAGGCGAGAAGCCCCCTTCATAGGGTCCAGTCACCCCTCGATCCCCTTCCTCCAGTCCTCCAGCCTGGCTGATCCTAGGCACTCAGTGCGCCCAGCATGTTTGAGGCCAGTCAGGCCAGGGATTTAAACCTTGAATTTGGGATGTGGGATTCAGCTTTCTGTGAGCAACGTATTACTACTGCATCTGGGAGCTGGCCTCCAGAAGGGACTTCTTACAGACACCTGAGTCTGACCGAGCACTAAACTTGTCATGGACAGGCTGGCCTATAAGCCACAAATGCTGCTGTGCTCAGCCCCACATGGCCCTGAGAAGCAGCGGTGAGGGACAGTCCTCCCAGTGGGTGGAATGCAGGCAGCGCAACCAGTCACTCGCTGGGTGTGCATAGAAGCAGACTGAGGTCCGACTATATATGAACCTGGGCCAGCCCATGGCCTGGTGGTTATGTGAGTTGGATCCCACGTGGCTGCCTGTGCAGTTTGAGTCCCAGACCCAGTAGTGTGAAAAGCATGTCAAGTGTGTGTGTGTGTGTGTGTGTGTGTGTGTATACCCAAAACGCTGGGAGGATGAAAAACTGGAGAAGGGATTGTGGTGTGACCATCCCTCATGAGGGTGCTCTCTCACTTTCCCACTCCGTCTCTCTCCAGCCAGTGCACATGGCTCTGGCAAATGAAAAATAAAACAAATTAGAACATATATGAACTATGGGCAGTGGGTAATTGCTTGGCTGGTAATTGGGGGACCTAGGAGAAAGGTTGGGACATGTGACAGGTTGAAACCCTCTTTCCTTCAAAGGTATGTCCATGTCTTAATCCTGAAAACTGTGTAACCTTACTGGGAAAAAGGGTCTTTGTACATGCGAGTAAGGATCGTCAAGATGAGGAGATGATTCTAGATGATCTAGTTGGGCCCTAAATGTCATCACAAGTGTCCTTATGAGAAGCAGGGCTAGCCCTGTGGTGCAGCAGTTTTTTTGTAGCAAGTTAGATCCAATATGGTGAACTGTGGTTCGAGTCCTCGCCCTGGTGGCTTGCAAAACATAATGGGCATCTGTGCATGTGTGCCCAAATTCTGGCAGGTTGGAGGAGAAGCGATTCCGTGACCTGGGGTCTCTGAAAAACTCACGTGCACTCTGGCAAATGAGAGAGAGAGAGAGAGAGAGAGAGAGGCGCAAAGGGAGCTCAGACACAAAGGCCACATTTCCATGGAAACAGACTCTAGGGGGATGCAGCCACACATCAAGAAATACCAGCAGCCACCGGCTGGAAGGGCCCAAGCATGGATTCTACCCTGTTTCTGGTCATTTTTTTATGGTAGCCCAGGAAGCTGACAGAGAAGTCAGGCAGGAGGAAGTCTTCGGCCTGTGGATGGAGTTGGGGGCGGGGGAGCTGGTTAAGGGCTGCCTGTCACATGGGGACATCAGGTGCAGCTGTAGAGTATGCTGCAGATCCTGACCTTCAGTTGATTGAGGAGCGGTAACGAAACCCCCTTTAAAAAGTTTTTTTTTCTGTTTCGGAGAGGCTTTTGCTATAGGGTGTGTGTGCTCGCTAGAAAGACAGAGACAGACACAGAGACAGAAAGCGAGAAATCACCCCTCAGAGGGGTTGGCCACACTGCAATTCCTTCTCCTCCATTCTCCTCTCAGGATCTTGGGCACGCATGCACACATGCCCAGCATGAGTTTAAGCCACAGGGTCTGGAACTTGAACCGCTGGTGACTACATGAGAGTCCAGTATGCCAACTGCTGTTCCCTAAAAATAATTTTTTAAAACGTTTTGCTATAAGGTACATGCACCTGGAGAGAGAAAGAGGAGGAAGAGAGAAAGTGAGAAATCACTCCCTGGGAGGATAACCACATAGTAATCCCTTCTCCATTCTCTTGGGATTCTCCTCTTGGCAGTCACTCACCTGAGCCCGAGGTTTGGGTCTGGAACTACTCCGTGGGATCCAGCTGCCTTAACCACCATGCCACCTGCTGGCCCAAGTTTTAAGTACCTTTAAATTTCGTTTACATTTTAGTTCAGTTTGTCATTATTTGTTATTTCCCCTCCCTCCTCATAGAAAGGAGAATTCCCAAGGAAAAAAAAAGACTCCCCAAGTATATGCTCAGAGTTCTTTCCGACAATCAGCCCAGGCTTCAGGTTTTCAGGTTCAGGGGCCACCAGCCTCTGTAACCCTGAAACCACCTCGCTCTGCCCAGCTCCAAGGCGGGGCTAGAGCGTGGGGGCTGGGGCAGGGGCTAGATCGGGGAGCACCCCGCAATTTTCATATCGCTTCTCTGAGCCCTTAAGGCCCGCCCATTCTGGGGCAGTTGGTAGGCTCAGGAGTTCCCAGAAGCGCGCTGACCTCGCTGCCTACCTTCTCCGTCCCCTGGCATTCTGGTTGTCTCTGGGCTCCGTTTCTAGCTGCTTCGTAGGGAAGACTGGGTAGGGGCGATGGGAGCTCAGAAGTGGCCAGTGGGAGGCAGAACCTAGGCCTCAGTGACATTACCCAGGGACAGGGAGTTTGCAGACTCTGTCCCCACTTTAGGTAGCCCACTCACTCTCCGTGGTGCCCCCATAGAGTGGCAAGAAGGGACATACGCCTCAGAGGCTGCCAGTCCAGGTTGAGCCTCACCCTCCGAGAGGTTCTGGGAGGCCAGGAGGTCCGGGGCCTCTAGGTCCCGCACCGCGCCTGACCGACCATTCAGCGGCTGTACTACAGGTGCGTCACAAAGACGCTCGCGGCCCCGCCCCGAAAGCGGCGTTCCCATGGTGACGGTAAACCGCGTGCAGGGTGCGTGAGTAGGGTTAACCCCTTCCGCGCTGCGCGGCCTCACGCAGGGAAACCTGTCACCCGTGCCCAAGGAACAGGGGAGGGCCGAGGCGCCGTGACTGCGGAAAAGCAGGTAACGAAAGCCCCTGGGACCGTTCCCCTCTCGTCTCCTGCTAGCCCACCACTGACTCCTCATTCCCCCCGGCCCCACTGCTCGCCTCTGCTCTCAGTCTACGTGAACTACTCAGCAGACCCGGAAGGAGCCTCCTGTTGCCCCTCTGCACTCCAGCCAACCTTCCGCACCTTGTAAACTAGGGAGCACGTCCCTGCCCTTCCCTCCCCTGACCTTGCTCTTCCAAGGCTGTGGTCCCAAGGCCTCCTATACGTGTTGGCTCACTGGGCTCGTTCTTGCTCTAGAGCTCTCACCCTCCCGGACCAGCATGTCTACAATGGCCCGCTGGTTCAGGCGCCCCTGTGTGGGCAACGCCCGAAGGGGAGAAGTCCCCTGCCGAGCGTGTGGGTGCTCAGCTTCACAGCGGCAGGGAAGCGGTTGCTCTGGGTGCTGCCCTTCCCTTCAGGGGGCCTTCGGCTGCCATGGTGTCATGCGAGGGCGTGGACTTCTGCCCCCTGGTCATCGGGCTTGGCAGGTGTTATGCTTTAGCCAATGAAAGGCCGTGCTCTTGGGCTTCCACCATCATTAGAGGAGTGGAGGCCTAGGATGCCCACAGGTGCCAGGGAGCCCTTTTGCACCCATCCTGAGGCCAGGAGCAGAGGACGGGCAGAGGAAGTGAGTTTAACTTGTTGGCCTGGCCCCGGGTACCCCACACAGCTGCATGAGTGTGCAATAAAATCTTACATGCACTCTGGGAAGACTGTGGCTGTCTGCTACACAGAAGTTCAGAGAGGTTTGTTTTTCATCTCTAAAATTCGCAATGATACGGACTGAAATATGCATTTGGGCCCACCTATTAGTGTGGTGGTTAAAGTGGCTGAATCCCATGTGGCTGGCTGTGCGATTGGAGTCCTGGACTTGTTCGCTTGAAAAGTATACCAAGTGCGTGTGCGTGCATGAGAGAGCAATGGAGACGGGATTGCTGCGTGACGACCCACCGTGTGGGGGGGTGATTTTTCACATTCTCTCTCTCTCTCTCTCTCATGAGGAGCACAAGTGCCGTCTAGGTGAAAGAAAGAGAGAGAGAGGAAGGAAGGAAGGAAGGGAGGGAGGGAGGAAGGAAGAAAGAAAGATGTGTTTCACAAGGGATGACAAAATTGGAAATCTAATTTATTGCTGGAGAGAGTAAATTAGCAGAAATCTGTTTGGAAGGCTATATATATATATAAATTCTTACATGAATCCAATAATTCTACTACTAAAATTTTATTCTAAGAAACAATTAAGGGCATGACAAAGCTATTGACAAAGCGATTCCTTAAAATGTTACTTAAGAGGGTGATAGGATGTAAGTTCGCAGGGGACAGCATTGCCTTTTCACTTCCAAATGACGGGCACTCACGTGCTTCTGACAAGTCTCGGTTATGTGGGACACTTAGTGACAGGCCTGGTGATTGTTTTCACAGGAGAGTGGAAGTCAGGTGTCAGAGGTCCACCTCCTCTGTCCATTGCCGGGCATTCAATCTCAGGTCTAACCGCATGGAATGAAGCTCAGCCATGGTCCTGCTTCTGGGGCAGCGAAACGTCTGCCCTGAAACACTGGAGATGAAAACGGAGGCAGGAATGTCAGGTCCTCCAGCGGGGATGAGTGTCAGACTGGCACAGGCTCCTGCAGGTGCGGACCGCTGCAGTGGACGGCAGCGACATTCTAGGCGAGCTACAGGGACATCCTGGAATGAGGTCACGGGCCACTCCTCTGTCGCCAGCAGATGGCCCTAGATGCAGCACTTACCCACCACCTTGGGGGGGCTCCACATCCCACAGGCCGCACACCGGAAGTGACTGCCTGAGCTCAGCCACCACACTGTGCCACCCTGAGCTCTTTGCACATATTAATTCATTTAACATTCACAGCCAGCCCATGGGAAGGCTGTCTTCTCATTGTTCTATAGAAAGGCAAAGCAGAAATGCAGAGGCCATCCCCAGCTTGTGGTAAGGCTGGGAGTGAGCTGGGAGTTGAAGCTCAGGCTCTGTGCACCGGCGTCTGTGGTCGAGATCCCAGTGACTCCTGGGTAAAAACAGGGACTTCTGAAAACATGTAAGATTTCTCCTCGCTGGTCAGGACTGGAGCAGAGGATGAGCCTGCAGAGATGTCCCTGGAGAAGCCGGGCTGCAAGGCGCCCGCGGAGTGAACGTGGGCATCTCACCTTCGGGGCAGCGGGTTGCTCAGCCGTTGCTGCGTCTCTTTCTGCTTCACCAGAGTACATGCGTGCAGAGGCCGGGCCACACTTATGGAGTTCATCTTCCTCACTCAGCGTGAGGGCCACTGCCTGAAGATGTGTGACCTCATTTGCCCTCACACCGAGGGCCACGCAGTGCTAACGCGGTGTGGTGACACGTTTATCTCCATGGATTCCCCAGCCGCGCGACGGTGCGCCGCAAGCCGCAGAGATGATATGCTTGTGTCTGCTCCGTCCTGACAGCCCTGGAAGCCTTCACTTGGCTCCCTGGCACTGTCTGACAAGTCACGTTAGCTGGTGCTAAGATGCTTGTACCAGCAGTCCGCTTTTTGTAGTGTCATTTGCTGAGGATCCCATCTAGTCCTTTCCTCTCTGGCTTTGAGATGGTCCTTTGATGGAGGTACAATTTCTGGCTTTTAGCTTAAAATGGGTCTTCAGCCAAGCATGGCAGAAAAGCAGAAACTGTCTACTGGTGACAGGACTGAATGGCCTGGTTTAATTAATTTAGGATCCAGCAACAGAAGAGGAGAGGTAATCCCTGGTGGGTTTGATACAAAACTAGTTCATGAGGATTTGCCAGTGGGCCTAGAACATGCAGCAGATCGCAAGTCCCAGGCCTGCTGACTCACCCTGGGGAGGGTACAATTCTAGAGCATTTGTATTAATATAATGTTTTATTAACACTTTGGATATTTTGCATATACAGAATTGACCTTGAACTTCACTTTTTGATTTCAGAGCATTTCCTACTCTGGGGGGAAGATAAGCAGGTTAGCAGGTCAGCTCTTTAATGTTGTGCAAATAAAAAATATAGAGCTTATTGGGAAAAGCAGTTGGCGTAATGGCTATGTCGCTGGACTCCCACGTAGTTGACCACGGTTTGAGTCCCGGACCCGGTGGCTTAAACTCATGCCGGGCATGTGTGCATGTGTGCCCAAGATCCCAAGAGGAGAATGGAGGAGAAGGGATTGCGGCGTGGTCATCCCCCCTGGGGGATGATTTTTCACTTTCTGTCTCTCTGTCTCTCTCTGTCTGTCTGGCGAGTGCACGTGCCCTATAGCAAAAACCTCTCAAGAAAAAAAAAAGAGAGAGAGAGAGAGAGAGAGCTTATTAAAGGTAAAGGATCTGGGGCTGGCAGATGGTGTGGTGAAGAGCCCTAGAATTCCACATGGCTGATTGTGGTTTGAGGAGGGAACAAGCCTTTGGAGCTTCAGGCTATCCTGGAGGCACCAGCGTGGTCTGAGTCTGCATTGTGTCTGATCATCCGGAAGACAGCATCAAAAGATTTGTCTGGGCAGCCTGTGGGTGATAGTTAAGGAGGCTGGATCCACATGGCCACCCTTGAGGTCCAAGTCCCAGACCCAGTGGCTTGAGAAACACGCTGGGCACATGTGTGTGCCCAGAATTCTGAAAGGAGGCAAAGATGGAGGAGAAGGGAAAGGTTGCAACCTCCTGTTCCTGGACAACTGGACTCTAGGTGACATTTTTTTAAAGTTTATTTTATTTATTATTATTTTCAATTTGCTATAGGGCACAGAGACAGCAAGAAAGAGAAAGATAAGGTGAGAAAGCAAGTCGCCAGGTTTCAAACCTGGTCAGCCATGTGGGAGTCCAGCACCTTAACCACCATGCAACCGGCTGGTCTCTTAGGTGACATTTCTTTCTTTTTTTTTTTCCCTGGGCTTTCACATTTTTTGATTTTTATTCGCTACCTCTTTTCAATACAATTTACAACCTCATCCCCATTTCCTGTTTGATTATACAAGTGCTAAGTGGCAGAAAAGTCTGAAATAAATATATCCAAAAAAACCCTGAAAGAGGCCAAGTTGTGAAACTAAGCTGCATGCAACAGGTTCTGTGAGGGTAGAGGAGATATCTGAGAAACAAAATAGAGAAAGACAGCACGAGGGGAATGTTTTAGCTGAGGTTCTCTCAGTCATCTTTGCCTTTTGCTTCATGTTTAAGGATGCGTGTGAACTCCATGTAATTGAAATCCCCCTTTTTGTCAGAAGGTGCTTCTCGGTACAGCTCGTCCACCTCCTCGTCTGTAACATGGTCTCCCACTGTGGTCAGCAGCTCCCTCAGGTAGGCCTCCTCAGTGGTGCCTGTTGCTTCTTCATCAAAACATGCAAAAGCATTTCTGATGAGATCTTCAGGATCTGTGCCATTTAGCTTCTCCCCGAACATGGTGAAGAACATAGTGAAATTGATGGGGCCTGGAGCCTCATTCATCATGGCATGGAGTGCGCATCAGTGGGACTCTTCCCTAGAGATGCAAGCATATCATGTAAGTCCCCCTTGTCGACGAAACCATCTCTGTTTTGATCAATCACGTGGAAGGCCTCTTTGAGCTCCTGAATCTGTGACGGGTCAAACATGGAGGACACATTGGATGCTGCATGCTGAGGGCGCTTCTTGGTGGTCTTGGTCTTTGCCTTTTTGCTTGACATGATGATTGCTTAACTCTGGAGCCGGCACCAGACACCAGAACCGGGGCTGTCCTGCGCGAGACGAGCGACGGAGACCAGAGCAGGGCTGTGGTAGGACGGTGGTGGTGCCAGCACTCTCTTAGGTGACTTTTCAATGGTAAA